CAGGTGGTCAAAGTACATCTTGTCATTTTTCTTGGAACTGGAGTTTATGTCCAGGCCACCTTATTTTAAGATGGAGCCAAATTTTAAAATGGAGTTGCTTAGGTCTCACATTCACTTAGGTCTCACATTCCCCCCTTCATATGTAGCTCTAGAGGCCCAATCATGGATCTCTGGGGGTTAATTCTATTGGGTTCTCTGATATAGGTTGATATTGTGACCTGAGAACCATTAATTGTACTGTACTGATGCATTCTCTAATGAATGAGACCAATTTGTTAAGTATGCAAGGTCCAGATATTAAGAGAAGCAGCAAAATGAGCAGGGGACCTAACAGTGTGGAGATTAGGGTGGTCAACCATGGAGAAGAGTTAAATAGTGACTCGAACCATCCTTGGGCCTGTTCGCGCTTGCGCCTTCGCTTAGCCAGGCCCTCTCTGACTTTCGCCATGGACTCTTTGACCGCACCCGAATGATCTATGTAGAAACAACATTCTTCCCCCAGGGCGGCACAGAGCCCTCCCTGTTGTAGCAAGACCAGGTCTAAACCCCTTTTATTTTGAAGCACTACCTCTGCCAAGGAGGACAGCGACTCCTGTAAGTGAGAGATTGAACTCTCGAATCTCTCAATGTCTCTATCTATGGCTGTCCTTAAATCATTATAATGTTTATTTTGCAAAATTAAGGAGGAGACCCCAGCCCCAGCTCTGGCTAGGCCCAGACCTAAGAGCACCATCAAAGTGATGGCTGTCAGGGGCTCCTGCTTAATTCTAGTTGGGGTTTTATCTAAATAGGTGAAAATATCTTTTTCAGGGTGATAGATCAGCCTGGGAACTAATTGTACTAATATACAAAAGTCACTAGTCTGGTTGAGCACTTTTCCCTGTGCACAAGGGGTGAGCCCTGTGGAACAGGCCCACCATCCGTCTGGGGGGGGTACAACATATTTTTCTGAATTAGACTGGTGAGTCTGGCTACCAAGATGTTGGTGAGTAATCGGGACATTACCAATACAAGTGCCGTACCCAACCACAGATTGTAAAGTCAGTCTAGCTGTTCCCTTCTTTTGCCACCTGCATAGAGTAGGACTGTCTGACTCAGTAAAGTTTCCTGAGAAAGCTATTCCCTCATAATAAGGGGGCTTAATGTCATAGCACAACCAACAAGACTGGGTGAGGTCAGGTCAGGATGCATTTAGGACTTTAAAAGTCCTGACCACAAGCTCCCAGAGAGGGTCGTCTGGGACTTGGCTCTGCCCTGAGTCTGTAGTAATTTTGGTGGTACCCTGGGGAGGAGGCAGAGATGGGCTTACTGTGCTTCAGGGGGGATTGGCTGGTTTAGGGGCTGGAAGGGCTAGTGCAGGGTTGGGTCTGACAGGATGAGACCATAGTGGTGTCCCTACTAGCTGAAGGGTGAACAAAAGTCCAGGGTCTTTGCTCTGTGTCTTGAGGCGGAGGCCCCAGGTCTTGCCTAATTCCCACCCAGGGGCCTGTTTACCTGTTGGAGTGAATTGTAGCCATACTTGGGAATCTCCAGGGACACGAGCCAAGGCAATAAGGTCTGATCCTTTTTTTGGTCCCCACATTTCCCTCCATTGTGTGGCCATATTTCCTACAACCATGGTTTCACAGCCCCAACTGGTGCAGAAGTAAGCCTTGGGTCCTCCATGTTGGGAGGTTTTTTCACCCCCTGGGCATACATAAAATACCCTCCAGAGGCAACCAGGATATGCGTCTGCCGTCTTTTAGGTATGTGTCCAAGACCCCTCAGCCAGTTGGCAGAGGTCAAACATTAAGTGGTCAGGGATCCAGAAGACTCTAGGTCCCACGGTTGAAGCCAAAGGGAACTGGAGCCCAGTCTCTAGGTTGAGAATTATCCAAGTCCAATTGAAAGGGGCATTGGGATTTTCAGCTGTCATCTGGGTGCAACAGGCTATGGCAATTGTCCAAATCAGGAGCATTTGAATTTGAGTTTGAGGGGATTGTCATTGTCCTTGGATACCTGCCATGTTGGGACAAAGTCCTCTCGAACCGCAAAGGGATCCGCTGGTCGAACGTGCGTGTAGTGCACCCAAGTGGCTACCCTGTCAACCTTGAGAGCGGTGGGGGTAGTCAGAATTACTACATAGGGTCCCTTCCAACAAGGTTCGAGGTTTCCTTGACGATACCTCTGGAGGTAGACCCAATCTCCTGGACGGTAGCGATGAGGCTCAGGAGGCGGTCCAGACTTGTACAGGGCTTTTAGCTTGGGCCAGATGTCCTTGTGAATCAGTTGAATACCTCTTAAAGAAAATAACAGCTCTTGATCACCAAGTTCAGTGAGCACCTCAGACTGGAGGTTAGGGATAATGGGAGGGGGCACCCCAAACATAATTTCAAAGGGAGTCAGTCCCATTTTATAGGGTGAATTGCGTACCCTATAGAGGGCAAAGGGAAGGAGAGCCACCCAGTCACTGCCAGTCTCTAAGGCTAATTTAGTTAAGGTCTCTTTTAGGGTCCTGTTCATTCTCTCTACCTGTCCTGAACTCTGGGGTCTGTATGCACAATGTAATTTCCAGTCTGCCCCCAGTACCTGCGCTAAGCTTCGACTCACCTTGGAAACGAAGGTGGGTCCATTGTCTGACCCGAGCATTACTGGGAAACCATACCTTGGCAAGATGTCTTCTAGCAGCTTTTTGGCCACAATCTGTGCTGTCTCATGTTTGGTAGGAAAAGCTTCTGTCCATCCTGAAAAAGTATCTACAAAGACTAGCAGGTATCTGTAACCATATCTTCCAGGTCTTACCTCAGTAAAGTCTAGTTCCCAGTATATGCCAGGTTGGTCTCCTCTCAATCTGCTGCCAGGGTTAGCCTTATTCAAGGTAGCATTGGTCAGTTGGCAGGCCTTGCAAGTAGCAACAATGCATTCTATTTTGGTACTGGCATCTCGAATCTTGATTTCAGCGTGTCTTAGGAGGTCCTGCATCTTGCGGACACCCATGTGGGTGGATCAGTGCATTTTGGAGAGAACTTGTTCTCCCAAGGCCTCAGGTAGAATGATTTTACAGTCAGATGATTTCCACCATCCTTTGAGGCATTGGGTCATGGGCAGTTGTTTTATCCATTTTAAGTCCACCTCAGTGTACTGAGGTTTTTCTGGCAAAGCAGCACCCCCTGGATTGGGCAGTTGAGTGATCAGCATCAGATCAGCCTCTAGGGCTATTTTTCAAGCTGTCTGGTTGGCCAAATTATTTCCTCGGGCAATCAGAGTATCATTTTTTTGGTGCCCGGGACAGTGGACAATAGCCAATTTCTTTGGCAGCCATAGGGCCGCCAGTAGGGTGAGAATTTCCTTTTTGTTTTTAATAGTCTTTCCTTCAGCCATTAACAGTCCTCTTTCCCTGTATATGGCCCCATGTATGTGAGCGGTGGCAAAAGCATACCTGCTGTCTGTGTATATATTTAGCTTCCAGCCCTTTCCCAGAGTCAGTGCCTTGGTTAGCACTATGAGCTCTGCTCACTGTGCTGACATTCCAGTGGGCAAGGGTTCAGCACAAACGACCTCAGTCTCAGTGACCACAGCCACCCCAGCATACCTTCGACCATCCTGAATAAAACTGCTCCAATCAGTGTACCAGGTATCTTCAGCATCTGGCCATGGTTGATCTTTCAGATCCACTCGGGTCCCGTGTACCTGAGCCAAGATGTCAGTGCAGTCATGCAGCGGGGCCTCCAGGTCTGGGTCAGGCAATAATGTAGCTGGGTTTAGGGCAGCCGGGGTCTGGAAGACAACTCTGGTTGGGTTTAAGAGCAGGCCCTGATAGTGGGTTAGGCGGGCATTGCTGAGCCATCTATCTGGAGGCTGTTTTAGAACCCCTTCAATGGCGTGGGGGGTGGTCACATACAGTTCTTGGCCCAAGGTCAACTTATCAGCATCTTTGACCATCAGAGCCACTGCAGCGATCATCCTCAGGCATGGGGATCATCCAGCTGCAACAGGATCAAGTTTTTTGGACAGATATGATACTGGTCAGTGCCATGGGCCCAGATATTGGACTAGGAAGCCCTTGGCAACTCCTTTGTTTTCATCAATGTAAAGGTAGAAGGGCTTAGTGACATCAGGCAAGCCCAAGGCTGGCGCTGGCAACAAGGCAGCTTTAATTTGATCAAAGGACTTTTGTAGTTTTTCTGTCCACTGAAAGGCCTGATTGTCCTTAGTTGTCTCATAAAGGGGCCTCGCAAGTTCCGCGAATCCCAGTATCCATAAGTGGCAGAAGCCAGACGATCCCAAGAATTCTCTAACCTTTCGAGGGGAATCTGGTGCGGGTATCTTGAGAACTATCCCTTTTCTAGCATCAGACAGCCACCTCTGCCCTTCTTTGAGTATGTATCCTAGGTAGCTTACCTCAGGTTTACAGATTTGGGCCTTGTTGGCAGATGCCCGGTACCCCAGTTCCCCTATGACCGTCAAGAGTTTCTTGGTTCCATCTAGGCAGGCCTCTCGCATCTTAGCTGCTATAAGGAGATCATCTACATATTGTAACAAAGTCAATTGGGGGTTTTGGAGGCAGAACTCACCCAGGTCTTCATGCAGGGCCTCGTCGAAGATGGTGGGGGAGTTTTTGAACCCCTGAGGTAATTGGGTCCAGGTCAACTGTCTGTTGAGGCCTTGTTCTGGGTCACTCCATTCAAATGTGAAGATATGCTGGCTTTTGGGTGCCAGTGGAAGGCTAAAGAAGGCATCCTTGAGATCCAAGACCGTGTACCATTGATGGCTCGGGGGAACTGAGCTCAGAAGGGTGTATGGGTTAGGCATCATAGGGTGGATATCTATGACCCTTCTGTTTACCTCATGGAGGTCCTGCACCAGTCGATAGTCATTTGAGTGGGGTTTCCGTACTGGCAACAAGGGGGTGTTCCAGGCTGATTGACAGGGCCTTAGAATACCCTGAGCAAGTAACCTCCTGATGTGTGGAGTTATTCCTTTGTGGGCCTCCAGGGACATGGGATATTGGCGAACTAGTGCAGGGTCCGCTCCTGGCTTTATTTCTACGAACACAGGTGTCCTGTGTGCCGCCAGCCCCATGCCTCCAGTCTCTGCCCATGCTTACGGGAACATGGCAAGCCATTGTTCCACGTCAGGATTGGGGGGGGGGATGCCCCTGGTGTAGCAGATACTCATCCTCAAGGCTCATAGTTAACACTTGGATGGGCTTTCCCTCCTGGTTAAGGACCTCTGCTCCCCCGGGCTGAAAATGGATTTGGGCTCCTAACTTAGTGAGTAAGTCTCTTCCAAGTAGAGGATAGGGACAATCAGGTATAATCATAAATGAGTGGGTTACCCAGCCCACTCCCAAGTCCACTGTTCTTCAAGTAGTCTATGAATACATTTTCATGCCTGTGGCTCCTTGGACCCAGGAAGTTTTGTCAGATATATGGCCATGTGGTTTAAGCAGAACTGAATGCTGAGCTCCGGTGTCTACTAGGAACTCAACAGGTTTCCCCTCCACTTTAAGGGTTACCCTGGGCTCGGTGAGGGGCGCTGAGCCCCGTTCCCCCTAACCACTTATTTTGTCCATGGCCAGGATGGGGGCCTTTGAGTGGCCTCCCTGTCACTTTTTGGGGCATTCCTTAGCCCAATGACCTTCCTCTTTGCAGTAAGCACATTGAATTTTCCCCAACCAGGGGCACTCCCTGCATTCCCCCTTACCTTCTTCTTCTGCCGCAATTTTTCTCAGACGACGTTCACATTCTCTCGGCTCTCCTGCAGTGATGACCAGAAGGATCAGAGCCAGGTTTCGGGTCTGGCAGTTGTCAGCCTTTATCTGTCTTTCCTCTGCGGTTTCCCTGTTGTTATACACTCTCTCTGCCACTGCCACTAAGTCCTGAATACTCTTTTCTCCTAATCTGTCTACTTTCTGTAACTCTCTCCTAATATCTGGTGCCGCCTGGTTGACAAAATGCATTATTACAGCTGCCTTTGTCTCAGTTGCTTCTGGGTCCATAGAAGTATACCTACGGAAGGCTTCCTGAATTCTTTCTAGGAAGGCCGCAGGGCTTTCGTTCGGTCCCTGTTGTACATCCCCTACCTTGGCCAAATTGGTGGGCTTTCGAGCAGCCGCTTTGAGACCTCCCAACAGAGCCTGGCGATAAACCTGGAGCCTCTCCTTACCTTCTGTTGTGTCGAAGCCCCAGTCGGGCCGGAACAAAGGAAAAGAAGTGTTGATAGTATCAACATTGGTGGTTGGTTGACCATTGTCACCAGGAACCAATTTCCTGGCTTCATTTTGGATTCTCTCGCTCCTCTGTGGTAAACAGGATCTGGAGGAGCTGTTGACAATCATCCCAGGTGGGCTGATGAGTGAACAAAACAGTTTCTAATAGGTTAATTAAATCCCTAGGGTTGTCTGAGAATTTGGCGTGTTGAGTACACCAGTTATAAAGGTCACTGATGGCAAAGGGCCAGTAGTGATGAGGCTGGTTACCATGCTCATCAGGGGGCCCTGTCGCTCTCAGTGGGAGAACAGTAGAATCTGCCGGCCCTGCCTGTGAGGCAGCACGCTGATGACGAGTGTTCTGGGCGGGGCCATCCCCGATGCTGGTGCCCAGAGTTGGCCCTCTCTCCCCAGTTCCAGCTGGGGCCGGGACTTCTCCCCCTGCCTGTTGTCACGGGGGAGTGGAGGGAGAGTGGTAAAGGGGGAGGAAAGGAGATTTTCCTCGGTTCCTCCTTGGAGGACCAGGTAAAGCGGTGCAGTCAGCTTGGTTTCGGTTTGCCTTTCGTTCTCTGGGAGTCTTTTCACAAGCTGCCAGGATCACCTCTGGCTGCTGTTTCTGTGGAGGCAAAAAGGGCTTGACCCATGGAGGGGGGTCACATATTAGATTTTCCCAAGTGATGATGTAAGGCACCTGGTCAGGATGTCCCGTTTGGGAGTGGAAGACTGCCTCTCGGACCTTCCTAGCCATTCCGAGGTCAAATGTGCCCTCGGGTGGCCGGTCCACTCCATAAGTTGGCCACTCTGAACTACAGAGAGTGATTAGTTTTCCGTTTTTAATTTCTAAACTTAGATTATGAGGGTGCTCCCTAACTTTTTAAAAATGGTCCATCATGAGGGACAGGGGGGTGGTCGCGGTCTGTCCCATCGTCTCAGTCCAAGTCAAGTGACAACAATAATACACGGTGATAGACAGACAGCCAAGCACAACAGAATAACAAAAAGCAAAACAAAACAGTCTTCTGCTCGATCGGAGGCAAAACTGAAAGTAGGACGATGGCTTCATGCCCTGCCGCAGGAGTGACCCGCACCATCCTTCCAGAAGTCTTAGAGACTTGTGGGGGACTCCGTCCCCTCCGGAGGGGTCCGGAACGTCTTCCAGGACCCCGGGTCGGTGGCCCTCCAGTGCATCCGCCTAGACCATCTGCAGACCTGCTCAGAAAATGGGCCCCAGACTTTACAGACACAGAAACACTCACCGGCTGGCTTCGACCCTCCAGTACGGGGATCCTGGGGGTCTTGGGGATCCTGGAAGAGCCCCCAAATGTTGTGCCCAGATCATGAGGACCCTGAAGACCACCAAGGAGCCGATTCCAATGCAATCACACAAGGGTCATTTATTCAAGCTCGAGCAGGGACTCTCGACCGTCACTGACGCAGCGGGCCAGGATTGAGAGCCCCCTACTCCAAATCAGCAGGGGTTTTTATAGGGGTTACAGCAAGGTTTGGGGAGTTCCAGTTTGGAAATTACATGATTGGC